ATAGCATAAGGACTACAGCAATAACATTGTGATATCTATGTATGGTGTCAGATGGGCACTAGATTTATTGGGGTGATCACTTTGTAAGTTATATAAATGTCTAATCATTATGTTGTACACTGGAAACTAATATAATATTGTATGTCAGCTGTAATTGAAAAATATAAAATTATTATTATTTTTTTTTAAAGAAAAGAAATGCTTAGTCTCCCTGAAGTGTAAGCAGTTGTGCACTTCCTGAGCTGGTGGCCTAATTGCCCCTGTCATTCCTTCCTAGAACGGTTGTCTCTTGCTTTTCTGACCCTCAGTACTCCTTTTCCTTTCTGTTTCATAGCACAGAAGTTGTGTTTTTTTATATGATAATCTTGAACTGAAAGATAAAGAGACTGAATTCTAACTTGTTGGACGTGGATTGTCAGCAGTCACTGCCACATCTGGAAGCTCATCCATGTCTCTCATTCCAGGGCAGATTGACTTCTATCTATCACCTTCTTTCCCTGACAATACATTACAAAACCAAATAGAATATGAACAATATGATAGAATTTGGAGAAGTTATCAGAGCCTCATTTTGCTGTTGGAGTCATAAGTAATAGAGCAACTTTTCAAATTCTTCAATTCAACTTGTCATTCATTGCCCCCTTTCTTTTTAAATAGGAATTACACTATCCACCCAAAATGGAAAAGTGTTCTTTCCTAGACTGTATATTTAGCAACATGCTCATGAGCAAAGGTTTATTTACAAAATAATTCATGTCTGATCCACATTATTGAACCTCAACTTTAAAATAGTATATCATTTCTCCCATTTGTTTTAAAGGGAACAGATTTTAGAGTCATTCTTTCTGAAAGGTTATAGAATGAAACTTACATGTGACATCTCATTTCAAAGACAGGTCTAGAAGGTGTGTGTAGATAGAANGTGTGTGTGTGTGTGTGTGTGTGTGTGTGTGTGTGTGTGTGTGTGAATGCACCATGCATGTCTTGGGGTACACCTGTATAACTGTATCCACACGTACCTGTGTGCATGTGTTGGGGGTACAGCAGCAGTTGGGCATCTGTGTTCCTAGGCTACGTGGAACCAGACACAGTGGTCAAACATGGGGCATCTGTCTGCTGCAGATAACTGGAAACTGGAGCAGGACCATAAATCTAACTCGACCAGGTGGGCCCTAGCTCTGTGACTGAGCTCCAGAGGCTCTCAGAGTAGCTAGATGATACCTGGAGTTCCCAGCCTGGAAGGTTTGGGGTAACTCTCTGTAATAGACACAGCTATGGACTTTGCATTTATTTTTGACTATACTTTATTTACAATTATTCATTTTCTCTTGAAATATTTTAGAATAACCTTAATTAAAATCATTACATAAAATAATCTTCACTTTTTTGTTACATATGGCACAGAATAATTTAACGCTTTATAAATATGTTTCATTGATGCACAAATGGGAGCAGCACCCTTTGCCAAAAGCAGTTCCATTTGGCCACTTTAAAAAATGACCATGAGGTGGCGCTGTGGCCAAGAGATTAAGTATGTTTTAAATGGAGGGTTTTCACTAATTATGGTATTTAGTTCCTCTCTTTAAATATAGAAGAATCTGCTATTCATCTTAAAGTAGAGTAAGGTGGTCACTCTATTTTAATAGTATTTATTAGGACTGAGTTCTTTAATTACAGACCCATAAACATTCAAGGACTGTGTTTCACTGGGCTAAGGGTTATATTTAAAAAGCCTCAGTAGTCAGAAAGTTCCCAGATAAACAAAGAGCCTGAAGGTACCATTTTATTTAAGATCAATCAGCTATATATAAGGACCATTGTTTTCACAACCCTCATCGAATTGTGTTAGTCTTCTCATAAAATTGGGTCAACTTCCAGTTTATTTAAAGAACTGATGCTTCTGTTACATTTTAATCTGCTTTGACAGCAATGGAAGGTCATAGAAACATTAGAACATGAATTCACATTTAAATCGATATGATACCAACATGCACACATGTATATACTGAGTGTTTTCATAAGTGACTCTTGCTTTTCCTCCATATAAATATATAAATATCGAATAAAGTGCATGGGAACATGCCTGTACATGTATACAGATGCATGTTTGTCTATAATATACACTTGAATAGATACTTATGGAGAGAAAAACATACAGATTTGTAATATATACGCAGTCAAAAGACATCTGTCAGGCAGCATTTATATTCATTCTGATCAAGATTGAGTACATGGGTGGAATCTGCAATTTTTTCTCTAATATATTGTATAATGAGATGTGTAGAGTTATAAACTAAGGCAAAATACATTAGAGCAGAGACTTTTTTAACATTTGTATTTTTATCAGTTTGCATGGTATAATCATTAAAGTAGTTCAGATCAAATGCAGCCTTGATACAAGTGGCTTACTATAAATTCTAGCTTTGAAATAAACACTTTTCAATATATCTATAGGGATGTAGTTAGGATAGCCGTGATGCATTTCCAAATTACGCAGTGACACCTCTCACATTCTTTAGTTTTCAAGTCTGTAATTTTTTCAAATGGCTTAGAGCAAAATATGATTTTTCATTCAATAGAAATGCTTTAGTATTGTAATCACATATCTAACATCTATTCCAATAAGAATGTGCAGTTTAACCTAGAGTGAATTTATCAAGGTGAATTAACTGCTGTTAATCTCTTTCTTTGGCAAACTTTTATACAAAATATTATATTGCTACTTTTTTTTTTTAAATTAGGGAGCCCAGTGTCGGTGGGGTAATAAATGAATTAGTTTTTAGGGAAGTGGAACAAAAATTTTGCTGAAAACTTTGGTAATTACAGACTGGGTCCAGGTTGAAGTGCGTATTTCTAAACTAATCGCAAATTTTGACCTCAATTGATATTTTCCCCTTCCTGTGTTTGGTTGGTATTAATTGGCAACCGATTAGGAAGCTTATTGAGAAAACTACTATCAGAGTTGAAATAAATCAGTTACTAAACCAGGTAAGAAAGAAGTAAGTTGAATTGATTGTCAAAAAATGTCTGTTAATATTTTTGACAAGGACCATCCCAATAAGGTATTTTCTTTAAAGGTGGGGATCTTATTTTAATTATTTTTATATGCTTAGTGCCTAGGACATTTCTTCATAGGTAGTATATACTCAGTAGATGATTGTGAAACCAAAGTGCAACAATTTTAGTAAATTATATAGATTGCTCTGAAAGCATAAATTTACCTGATGGGTACCCAGAGGAAAGTCACCTGCATTTTACAGGGATGTCCTAAGACTGTATTGCTGTCAATAGCCAAACACCTGAGTTTATTCCTCAATCCTGACACAGTTACGTTAATACTGCTTACTGCTGAAAGGAGCGCATGCACGATGCAGTCACAAAGGGCAAGTTATCAAATGCCTCTTATGGTGCTGTTTAGGAGAAGCAATTTCTAGAAATGTATTTGGTAATGTTAAATTATCATTTTGAAAGTGTAGCTAGTAGAACAAATGCTAAACAAGACCACATTGGAAATTCAGACTAAAGCACAGGTAGTAGAAGAGAAAGCAGCAATAGTTAGGAAATAACATTTAAAATCTTTTCACTTCTGAGAAGAATTTACTTGAACTGCAGCAAATGCCAGCAACTTTGTGAATATTTTAAAATGGCATTGATGAAAAAGCAGGAATGAAAAAGCTGTCAAGTAATTCATTTAATTATCTTAGCAATACTGACTTCATAACACTGTCCTTAGTGTCTTTTTCTGTTGTTCAAAATACATTAGTTTTAAATTAATTTCTTCTTTAAAAGGCCATTATATTCGACAAATTGTTCACTATTTATAGCTATTTTTATTTACAGCAGTAGGTAACCACGTCATGCCATCAATTAATAACATAGTAGCAAGGATTTCACTTGAAAATAGAGGTTAATTTAGATTTATTTATGGCCTCATTATAATTATACAATAAAAGCTAATTATTTTAAAGACATCATTTACAATGTTAAAAATAAGTATCATAAAGCTCACAGCTGAAATGCTGTCAGAACATTTTTGAAGTGCACATGTTGTGGCATTGAACCCTGCTTTTCACTGACGGAATAAAATGAGGCATCTAGATATTGTTGGTTGCACTAGACTGGCCTAGTTTTTTTTGCCAGTCTCCCTATTATCTTTTCTTTTTTCTCCAGATAGGTAAAAACTTGCTCAGTGTGCCCTCCGTGGTTGTCATGGCAACCAGTCTATCACACACAGCTAACCTTTTCATTCTCTCTGTTGATACTGTCTGTAGGAGCGTCTTCTGAATTTTGTTTTCCTAGAGCAACCATAGTGCAGTCGTTATCTGTCGTCTTGGCATCTTTCTGTGAATTCTTTTTTTGTCCCTTCTGGAGTTCACTAGACTTGTATGCCAAGGCTGGGATAGTGTTCACTAAAATTAACTGTAATGGTTTTTTATTTTCCTTGTACTGACACTGAATATACCGCGAAAAGGCTGACCTGTAGGTCTTGTTGAACAATGTGTACACTAGTGGGTTGACTGCTGAGGAGAGGTAACCGATCCAAACGAACACGTTGAGCAGGGATCCGATGACATCCTCGTTGCAGGACTCTTTGCAGATGACGGCCATTATGTTCGTGATGAAGAAGGGGCACCACATCACCACAAACAGAAAGAAGACGATGCCCAGCACCTTGCAAGCTTTTTGCTCGTTGCTGATGGACTGCATAGTCCTCCTGCCGTAGGCCCCTGGCTCCCTGTGGATTGACCTCTGGAAGAGCTTTTCTGAGGACAGGGAGCTCTGAGGGAGGAAGCTGAAAGAAGATAATTTGGCCCGTGCGCTAAGATCATTCACACACAAAGTAGCTTCTTTCTGGAGTGACTTTATAGTTAGAAAGTAGGTGATCACCATGATGGTTAAGGGAATGAAAAAGGACACGAAAGAGCCAATCAGGACAAAGTTATCGTCGGCGAGTAAGCAACTCCCTTCTTTGAAGACCTTGGAATCATCCTGTAGCCCAAAGACTGGTATTGGCATGGATATACCTGGAGTTGGATAGAAAATGAAACATGATTATTAAGGAATTGAGTACGTGAAGGCAAGCGCACGCCTACATAATGGTGGCCATGCAAAGGACTTTATATCAACACTTTAAAAGCTTACCATATGCTTTCAAGGAGAATTTAAAATTCTCTTGGACTGACTTACAAATATTATACTGTTATTATATAGTTATAACACATTATATAGATACTATAATAGGAAGTTATAATATTTAGTTGTAATATAGTTATATATTAATTATAATACATACTAATATATAATATATATAACAATATATAATATAATATGTAGTTCCTTATACTTGTATGTTATATTGCCCAATATAATCCTTTACTTATAAAGTATAATAAATCTAGCTTTAATTTTTCATGCTATGTTTTCTGATTATAAATTGTACTTATTAATTGAAGAAAATATAGAGACAAAGAAACAAAAATGAAAAGGATCAATAATGCCACCACCCAGACATAATCACTATTACAATATGATGCTGTTTATTTTAGATAAACATAAACACACACACCATGCACACACTTTATAAAATTGTAAATATAATATATTTTCTTTTTAGAAAATTTGAAAAATTCAAAAAGGTAACAATGAGTAAAGAAAAATAATATGTATTCTTGTTAGCCAGGGGCAACCATAATTTATATTTTGTGTAGTTTTTTCTTCCATTTATGTGCATACATAAATAGTATATATGAACATGTAGTATTTTATGTGCAGTTTTAGATCTTCCTATTCCATGAAACATTAAATCATAAAAAGTACACATATTTTAAAATATTTTTGAAAAATATAATTTTTTAATGTGGATTAAAAATAACTTTAACCAATTTTGATTTCTTTTAAAAAGCTTTTTGTCATGGAAAAATTCTAATATATGGAAAAACAAAACAGCACAATGAACCCATTACCCAGCTTCAACAATGATCAACTCAAGGACAATTCTATTTTATTCACAGCCTTACCTGCTGCAGCCCTCCCATGTTATTTTGAAAAAAAACCCAGACATTATATAATTCAATCTGTAAATATTCTATTGTATATTATAGATATTATTACACATTATATATTAAATATATTATTATATATGCTATACACTCTTAAAAAAATATTGTCACAATACCATTCTCACTCCTAAACAGAAATTTAATATTTCCTTAATATAATTAAATACAGAGTCAGTCTTCAAATTTCCAATTGTCCCATAAAGGTCATGGTATATTTTTAGCAGTAGAGCATTCATAAGGGGAGATTACAAAACATTAAGTAGCCACAGATTTTTACTGACAAATGCAAGAGTTAGGTAGAGGGTGACACAATACATAGGAACAGGAGCCCATGGTCCATTGCTCTGTTACTCAAATTTGGGGAACCTGTAAAGCTCCTACGTGCACAGGGCTTAGGCAGAAGAGGGAGCACAGTAAGTAAAGGTAACGCTTGGCCTCTCATCATGCTAAGGGACCTTACGTAAGGGAGATTCAACTGGCCACCACCACCGCTGTGCAGTTTGGGGTGTGTGGGAGAGGCCTGGGGAAGGCCAAGGCAATCATGTGATTGCCACAGAAGAAGCGTGGTGATGAGGAAGAAGAGGAAAGATGAATAAAATATTCTGTAACTTAGTTTAAGGTTGCTTTGTTTATTGAAGGGTAGACACCACAGGGGCACCCTGGGAGAAAGTCAGAACAAAGTTTCTTTCTAATTCCTGCCCAGGTTTTTGGCTCCCTTAGAACTGTATAACTGCTTCTGACCACCCTTTAGAATCTAATAAGCAATCATAATCCAGCCAAAAACACAGGCTCAATCCCTAGTTGGGGGCTACGGCTTGCTTGACTCTTGGAAAAACTTCCTTTGAGGCTCTATAACATGCATATGCAGAGCAGGGCTCAGCTCCCTCCAACCATAGACCTGACTATTCTAACCTCACATCACCTCACAGTGGCTGTGCTTGCCAAGAGGGCACATTAGCTTGAGTTAAAGTAATGCCTAAAACAAATCTTCCTCAGTAACCTTTTCCATTATCCTCACAGATTTAATTGACCGTATTTGTCACACGTCTGTGTAAGGCCATCCCAGTATTCTTGGAAGGTGGAGATAAATGACATCAGAACTGTTCTTAAGGACACTTAGTGTGGTTAATGACTCTTCATTTCCTTCATTCCACTCTGCCCCTGGCCTGAACATTTTGTGGGCCAAGAAGAGATGGAATAACTATGGCTCCAAGAGGAGCATCCTCTTGAGACTCTTGATAGACACCAGTTTTGTTTAGCCTTCAGAAAACTCCTGATCATGTTTTATAAGAAGAGTGTTTTGTTTTCCAAGTGTTTGAACATATATCTGTGAAAGATGTTTCCTGTACTTATCCACAAGGTCTTTGTTCAACAGTGTAGTTGTTCACTGATCAAAACGGATGCTTTGGAGTGAGACAGACCTGAATTTGCATCTTTGTCCTGATTCTGTGCTTCTGGGATGCCTACTTCACCCCTGTAGGCCTCAGTTCTTCATCTATCATATGAGGCTTGCACCAACATGCCTCCATGGATGTGGAGAGGATAAAAAGAATCAAATATGCAGGGCACCTAGGACAGTGCTTAAGAGCCGATGTTCTCCAAATAGTAGATAAACGTAAGAGTAGCTTAATCTGCAGAATTATTCAGATTAAATACATTAGGATTTTTTCCCTAATTTTGTTCCATTTTGTTCACTTTGTACATGCTAGACTTTAATATGCAATAGAGCTTCTTAAACCAAAAGAAGTTAAAAACATTTTGGTTATTGCCTATATAGTTAATAATGACGTAATTATTAGCTTCTGCCAGGGTGACAAAGGACTCAATTAATTTTAATTTTGTACAGCTAGAACTGTTGATGGCTATTTTAACGTGATGAATTACAGCCATGACTATTAGTCATGATACACATAAAAAAATATCAACTGTCCACAAAAGGTGTATTATTTTGTTATTAAACTCTTGGGTGTGCACATTCCTGATTCATACAAAGGGAATCACCACCTTGAGAGCCTTTTGCCCTATTTGTTTGCGATCTGGTGATTTATATAAGTGGTGATGTTCAATTAACGAGAATATGAGATTACCTAAAACACCAAATTCTTCAAACATTTGACATTCAGATGAGTGCTCTTGTTTGGGGAGAATGAACACACACACACACACACACACACACACACACACACACACACACCCTCCAGAGAGGCTCAATTTCTGTGGTCGGGGACAGAAAAGCTGATGGAGTCATGTCACTGAAGTAGAGATTTCCCCTTCTTAGCTGTCTTGGATGAAAACCACTTCAAAGTGGAGGTAACAAGGGGGCATAGGCAGGCTGTCTAGAAGGGGGAGGGGAGAAGCAACTGATTAGGTCTTTAAATGGCCCGTTCCTCTTTACGTATAACAAAAATATCACAAATTCTGTCATATATCATTCTTTTTCAGTGTCTCACTTATAGTAGGGGTCAGCAAGGGCTTGTGGAAAGAATAACTTAACAGTTAAAGCAATACTCTATAAAAGAGGGGAAAAGATTTTACGTCCAAAAACTAGAATACTTAGATAGGCTTTGTGGGTACAATAAGCAGTTCAAAAAACACGCTCCTACCAAGAGAGGTGATGACGCTGGCTGATATCCAAGATTGCGGTCACAGCCATCTCCAGTGCATTAATTTTCTGGCTGCTTTGTTTAAGAATAGCTGCTTTTGGAGACCTGACATCTTCTCTCACTTGAAATTTCTGCATATAAAGCATTTTCCTTTATGAACAGACAGAAAGTAGCTTGAACTATGTGACTCTGCATTTTGTTTAATATTATATTTTTCTGGGGAGTGGTAAACAGCAATTCAATATCTGTGTTGGGCCCTCCACGCACATTTTTATTTCTTTTCATTACAGCTCAGACAATGAAATAAATGGGAAACACTGACACCAGGAATACACAGGCTTTGGCTGCTGTCTTTCTTTTAGGGTAGCCCTGCTTATTCTTTGCACATAAAGTTTGCATCTCTGGTTAACATCTGCCTGCAGTCTGGGTAAATGGCCCTAACTCTGAAGCACTGGCTATGGAAAATGAGCTTTATTCTTAATCCTAGATTTTATACTTTAATATCTTGGGACTGATGGTACTTCTGAGACTGTTTCCTTGGGAAGGAAGAAGGTGACTTTACTACGTAGTGATTCTCTGGTAGGGAACATGGCATCAGGAGTCCTCAGGGCCTTGGGTTGTATAAAAGGTGCAGGGGAAAAGAAACAAATATTTCAGGGCTCTTGTGAAAAAGAGTGAATTTTAGTTCATAGGTTTCATTTCCTCTGGAACTATTACCTTTCCTTTGCATTTTAACTCATGCTGAATTTTTTCAAGTTATAAGTTCTAGCCGTTTGACAGAAAGTGCCACGAGCAAAAAGTGCAGGAGAATCATCATCCTGCAGGGAGAGAGGGATTGAATACATCGGGTAACTGGGGCTGGGACTCACCATTCTTCTAGTATAGACTGTAAAACTCAAGTGTTGCTAAATTCCTTATAATCTATGGTTTGCTGACAAGGCAGATGTATATAAAAATGAGAGCTACATGAGTATGTCAGTTCCCTAAGGAATTGTATGTTTCTTCTTAAATTAATTCTGAATATCTCTAAATAATACATCATAAATTTTCAAAGTACTTTTTCTTTTTTAGCTGAGCCATCCTGCCACCTGCTGGCAGCTCAGCTGGCAGCTCAGCTCGGGCCGGGCATTGAACCGTTTGTTGCTCAGAGCTCAAACTCTTGAGTGAGCTCTTAACCAACTGAACCACTCGTCCGGCCTCTTCAAAGTACTTTTACATATATTCATGTCTTCTCAAATGATTTTTTTTTACAGAATTGTAAAAATATTACCCACACTGCACTATGGGCAGATAAAAATTTCAATTTATAGAAAAATTGACACCTCGCAACCTTAAATGATTTAGCTAGAATTGCATAGCAAT